TTGAAAGTCTGCTTGCAGCAGAAGTAGATGAACTCATCACTGCTCTCACAATACTCTGCCCTACCTGCATTAGAGTTTCTGTTGGCCCAGCTCTGAGGTTCTGGGCTTGGGCTTCTGGCATGAAACATTCAAACCTTGGGCTTCTGCCATGAAACATTCAATCCCACAGTGTGGCCGCCATCTTGAAGAGCTTGGAGAGTGGAGTTGAAATTCTATGGCTTCTCCACATGCAAGATAGCATCGTTGTCACAGTCTTGGTCAGAGAACACTTGACCAAACTTGATTCTGATGTGTGGGGTGGCAAATCCTAATATACAGTCAATAGCTCAACAGAATAGTGCCAGGGTGAGAATGTGTCCCTGCCGCATACCTGAGTTTGTGTAGAAATGTGGCAAAAGCCAGGAACCAAAGCACGCTCTCGCTCTAGTAGCAGTTTGAAAATCATGCACCAGTTTTATCAGAACATCTGGAACATCAGCTCCTTACAGTGTGAGCCAAAGTGCTCAGCTATCAATCAAATCAAAAGCCTTTTTGATGTTGATATATGCCCCATAAAGTGGACTGTTAAATTCTCGGAGTAACTCAGGCAGAAGCTGAAGGGTAAGGACAGCATTCGTTTTTGACCACTGAGCTGTGAAACCTGATCGCGATGAACGATGATTTAAGCATCAATTTTTTATTTAATTATTAAAAGCTTTCAAAGTGTGACTGAGATGACAAGCAAAGAGAGGGTCAAACTAAATCATTTTGTTAAAAGTCTTCAGAACAGAGCCCATGTCCAAATTTAATGAGTGTTGGCCTATTTCAATACTGGACTGAACTGGAACACCAAATCAAATGGCCACTGAACTTCTGGGAAATTCAATTTCTGGATCTGAGCATCCTTATTTCAACCCTCTTTTAGGCACAATCAAAAAACAGATTAGGGTATCAACCTTCCTCGTACAGTGGACATTTGTACAATGTACTCGTCCCCCATTTTGTTTGAAACTTTGTGCATTTTGTGTTCAAGAGAAACCCATATGGGTTTTGCCCCACAGGGCAGGGGGTGTGGGGATTCTGTGTCTTGGGTGGGGGATGACAGCTTGGGGCTGGGGACATTGGGGCTTGTGACTGCCACACTGTCCCATAGGGCAGCTTCTGCCAGGGCTGGGGACACTGGGGCTCAGGGCAGCTTCTGCCAGTGCTTGGGGCTCGTGCTTCAGCCCCATGGGGTGGCTTCTGCCAGGGCTCAGGGTGCCTGAGCTCGAGGCTTCAGCCCCGGGGATGGGGGTGCTGGAGATCGGGGCTTTAACCCAGAGTGGATGGCTCCGGCTTCTGCCCTGCAGGGTGACGGGGTTCAGGACTCCAACCTTCAGCTGCCAGGCTCTAGGGCTCCCAGTGGCCCTGCTTGGCAGATGCCCTGAAATGGCTCACAGCCCCTCAGTGGGCCACAGACCCCCAGTTGAGAACCACAGATATAGGACTCAATGGAATAAGGAAATGCACTGTGGGTTCCCCTTGACACTTAATGTCACTTTATTTGACAACTGAGCTGAGAGGGAGGATGGAAAGGGGGGAGCTGGCTAAGGCATAAGGAGGCTTCTCTGCAGAATCTATATATCCCAACTCCTTTTTCTTCTGTATGGGGAGAGGAACAGATATAAAGATTCTGCTCAAATATGTGGAGTACTCTGCAGTCTCTGGCCAGACTGCGTAGAATGTATGGGAATGTGTAGCATGGCTGGATGTGGTTTAAGCATTGTTTCAAGCCGCGGGGTAACTATGGTTAGTTTCCAGCTAATATACGGCCCAGTCAGGTATCCATTGGCATCAGTTACAGTCTTTCCATTGACATCAGTTGACATTGAATTGAGCCTATAGCAAAGGTGCTTGAGGTAGATTGCATTACATTTTGATCTCAAATAGCCTCTGAAATAAACTTATCAGCTGCTGGTCTGCAACCAACTATCACTTTATTATGTTGGTTTTCTTTACAGCACACAGACTTAAAATGTGTGCATAATTTTTAAGGTAGAGTGACAAAACCTGTTTAGCTTTCTATATTGTGATTTCTTTAGCTTTCTATATTGTAGCTTTCTTTTTTTTTTTTTTAGCTTTCTATATTGTATTCAAAGCTGGAATTTTTTTAATCACCATTAATATGAAAATACTGAACCACCCCTTCCTTCTACCCTTAGCAGTTATTATCATAATTTCTACCCATTAACAAGAAAGTTGGAAATATATAAGACCATCTCTTGAGCTAGATGTCAAGCTCCAGAATTTACAGCCATTTATGCCATCTGGGAGTCTGATGATGATCCAATTTGTATTCGCAAAAAGAAAAGGAGTACTTGTGGCACCTTAGAGACTAACCAATTTATTTGAGCATAAGCTTTCGTGAGCTACAGCTCACTTCATCGGATGCATACTGTGGAAAGTGTAGAAGATCTTTTTATATACACACAAAGCATGAAAAAATACCTCCTCCCACCCCACTCTCCTGCTGGCAATAGTTTATCTAAAGTGATCTCTCTCCTTACAATGTGTATGATAATCAAGTTGGGCCATTTCCAGCACAAATCCAGGTTTTCTCAACCCCCCTCCCCCTCCCCCCCCCACACACACAGGAGAGTGGGTTTGTGTGTGGGGGGGTGAGAAAACCTGGATTTGTGCTGGAAATGGCCCAACTTGATTATCACACACATTGTAAGGAGAGTGATCACTTTAGATAAGCTATTACCAGCAGGAGAGTGGGGTGGGAGGAGGTATTTTTTCATGCTTTGTGTGTATATAAAAAGATCTTCTACACTTTCCACAGTATGCATCCGATGAAGTGAGCTGTAGCTCACGAAAGCTTATGCTCAAATAAATTGGTTAGTCTCTAAGGTGCCACAAGTACTCCTTTTCTTTTTGCGAATACAGACTAACACGGCTGTTACTCTGAAACCAATTTGTATTATGTATTACAAACTTAATAAAGATGTCCCAAAAGCAAATGGATAATACAACACAAAATAGGTGTCACAGACTTCACCCATCATGTAAAGAATCTTAGAATCAGTGCACTGAATGCACTGGAAATTCTACACAAGTGTTACTTTAATTATTTGGGGGAAAACACTATGTGATGGAAGTACTGTATGTTTCTCTTCACCTTTGGACACTTAGTATACTGGATGCTTAAATGGTGTATCAATATATATTTAATCAACATGACAGCAAGGCTTAATCCTAATTGGTGAAGAACATGTTAGTTAACAGAGACGGAATGGTTTGTTAATCTGTCACGAAGCAAGAAGATGCACATTACTTGTAGCACTGACTGTTCAGCTTTCAGTAAAAATGTACTGAACGTCACACTGCTTGCTTTTCTGTTACACTCAGAGAGCTCTGCGGTTGACTGCAAAAGCTGCATCTGGAACTTCTAGACTGTGAATAGGCCACCTTATGAACGTAGCATGTATAATTGGCTCCCTGATAATAATTAAAGCCCCAGTTCAGCAAATCACTTAAAGTGGTGCTTAAGTTCCGTGTTGAATAAGAATGGACATAAGCGTTGCTTAAGTGCTTCACTGAAAGCACTTGAAAATGAAAGTCCTAATGAATTCAAGTTGTAATACATACTCTTGTTTATGCACGTGTATTCAAAATGTTCTGAGGGAGCCTTTCAAAATTTTACCAGCCCGCTCACCCCCAGTGAGTAGTTTTTGTTTTTTGTTTTCTGGAGACTTGTTTAGAGGGATGAATGGGTGCAATATTATTTGAGGTTTTAATTATCTTCAATCATTGTGGTTAAAGACAAGTGAGTATTTTAAAGCTATTGCCAGCAATTCCATGAGAACAACCCACAGAGGCAGGAGAAATCCAGAACTGCTATTGCACAATGTTGCAGATGATGAAATTTCTATCCTGATTTCATCTGGAGCATAAAATGACTTGTATGTTTGTTATATAGGTATGATTATTTACTGCTGCATTTGAAGGGATGCAGGTAGATGCATATTTTAATCAAAATTGGGGGAAATTTTACAAAAAAAAATTCATGAACATATTTTGCAAATTCTCAATCAAACTGGTCACATTCATATCTATTCAGAATTATTCATGCCAGCAAAGTTTGGAAAATAATCATTTTTTTACCACAAAGAGAGAGAAATTAATTTAATGACAAAACAAGATTCTATTTCAGGGAGAAACTGAAAGAGTTTACAAATGTTAGGTCATCCAACCATTTAGTGACTCGGGAGCAACATCATGTTGCATCTAGGAAGAGTTAGGTGACCAATCACATGATATAAATAGTGAATCGTGAATAGCAAATACATGAATTATTATAGCAAAGTTAATGAGAAAACATAGGCTAAAAATAGTTTACAGAAGTAAGTTGTCAAACAAATGCTAATAAACAAATTCATAACAATCTATATCCATTTGCAGATAGTTCACAAACAGAAAAATATGGTAATTTCACTGGAGTATGAATTTTAGGCCTGATCCTATTCCGGGTTAGTCCTAAAATGTATGAACATTGCAAGGAATCTGATCTGATTTTATTACTACCAGGGAAGTTTTGCAGTGTCGTATTTCATTGATAAAAATTCACACACACGCATCTCTAGTGAATTTTTAAGAGGCATCAAATAGATTATTCACAACCACTGGGAAAGTCTTCTTTCCTGCTTTCAACTTTGGTTGGGTTAGGCAAATATTTGTGAGCACTACCATATTCAAGAGAGATGAAGGGGAATTTGAATAAAACCTGTAGATTGTGCATCTTTGAGTCTAATTTATGATATCCCAATGAAAAAATAAACATTAAATACATGTCCTACCTGGTTGTTGCATTATATATTCTTCCGTTAAATTATAGCCTAGAGAAAACATATTTACAATTCATATCGCATTCATGCATTTATCCTGCTCAGATGTAATCCGTAAATGGTATGTTTGCTTTTCCAATGGCCACAATAATATATAATCACTAAGCAACAATGTTATTTACGTCTTCCCTTTAGGGGCCGATGTTATCAATTTTGATGGCCATGCTGTGTTACCGTACAGATTCAGGAACAAGAAAATGAAAACATTGAAAGACGTCATCACTCTGAAATTTAAAACCTCTGAAAGTGAAGGTGTCATCTTCCATGGTGAAGGGCAGCAAGGAGACTATATCACCCTGGAACTGAAAAAAGCCAAGCTGGTCCTTAATTTAAATCTAGGTATGCTTATTCTTTAAAAATCATTTTAGGTACATAATTTAAATTCAAATACCATTCTCCTTTTTTTCCTTCTTCTTTTGCTTGTTGTTTTAAGCAGCACCTTATAATCAGATCATCTGGTGAAAATGCTGAATCCTTTCCTGTATACAGTATTTTTAAATGAGTGTAGATTATGTCTTACTATGGATGCAGAATGTCAAAAATATGAAAATGAAACCACAAATAGAAACACAACAAAAAAAGTGACACCTAGAAATGCAGTGTTCCCAAAAATGACAAGAGAATCTTATTCTTGGTTTAGGGCATACATGGTGCTGGTTAGCTTTACACAGATTCATTTACAGTAGAAGCAAAATGGCTGTGGGAGAGAGGGAGCTGATCAGCAGTACTGGGGGAAAGGCCCGGTGAATTTAAGAAGACTTGGGAAGCTGCAGAGAAAACAGTGAGGGGCCCTCACTGAGAAGCCATGGGTGAATGCCAAGCTGAGGTCCAAGATACTGCCTTGGAGAAAGTATAGCCAGAGAGGAGGTAGAGTGACAGCTCCGGGCTGCAAATGCTTAAGGAGAAATCCTGGCCCTACTTAAGTCAGTGGTAGAACAGGATTTCACCCTGAATGTCTGATATGATCTTCAGATGTGCGTGTGGAGGGGTGGGAAAACTTACCGATCTCAGGTTTCAGAGTAGCAGCCGTGTTAATCTGTATCCGCAAAAAGAAAAGGAGGACTTGTGGCACCTTAGAGACTAACAAATTTATTTGAGCATAAGCTTTCATGAGCTACAGCTCACTTCATCAGATGCATTCAGTAGAAAATAAGTGGGGAGATTTATATACACAGAGAACGTGAAACAATGGGTGTTGCCATACACACTGTAAGGAGAGTGGTCAGGTAAGGTGAGCTATTACCAGAAGGAGAGCGGGGGGAACCTTTTGTAGTGATAATCGAGGTGGGCCATTTCCAGCAGTTGACAAGACCATCTGAGGAACAGCAGGCGGGGGGAGGGAATAAACATGGGGAAATAGTTTTACTTTGTGTAATGACCCATCCACTCCCAGTCTTTATTCAAGCCTAAATTAATTGTATCCAGTCTGCAAATTAATTCCAATTCAGCAGTCTCTCATTGGAGTCTGTTTCTGAAGTTTTTTTGTTGAAGAATTGCCACTTTTAGGTACATGGCAGAGGGATACAATTAACTTAGGCTTGAATAAAGACTGGGAGTGGATGGGTCATTATACAAAGTAAAACTAGTTCCCTATGTTTATTTCCCCCCATGCCCCACTGTTCCTCAGATCTTCTTGTCAACTGCTGGAAATGGCCCACCTTGATTACCACTACAAAAGGTCTGACCGTCCGTCCCACCCACCCCTCCGGCTCTCCTGCTGGTAATAGCTCACCTTACCTGATCACTCTGCTTACATTGTGTATGGTAACACCCATTGTTTCATGTTCTCTGTGTATATAAATCTCCCCACTGTATTTTCCACTGAATGCATCCAATGAAGTGAGCTGTAGTTCACAAAAGCTTATTCTCAAATAAATTTGTTAGTCTCTAAGGTGCCACAAGTCCTCCTTTTCTTTTTACCGATCTCAGTAACCTGATGCCAGTGTTGCTAGATCCTATACTCTAAGCAATGTGAGAAGACTATTGGGCCACTTTGGGGAGCTACTTTTCATATGGGCCCACCCTTTTTGTTAGCTTTGAGATTGGGAAATTAGTAGGTTGGTTTTCATTTTGTATTCAGTGAATAATCCATCATATAGCTAATTCTGTGGCAGGATTTAAGGAGACCCTAGATGATGAGACTAAGAAGTGTAGGCTATGTTCATAAAATCTGAGCACTAGAGTGTCAGAGTCAGATACAGGCTCTGTCTGTAGCCAGTTGCCTCATTAAGAAGTTATCTATATATTTATTACTACCGAGTCCTGCCTCTTTCCTTCTGCAAGAGGTATTACAGGCTTCTGAGCAGGTTGGTTTGTAGGCTGAGTTATATAAAATAGTTTTGCTCATATGAGAAGGAAAGTGTGTATGTGGCTTTAGATTCATTTTTTCTTAAAACAAATGCCTTTTAAAATGAGGTTTCATGTAACTTTTGCCTGCTTCTCTTGCAGTCATGTGAACAGTAAATTATTCTATTCATGTATTATTTACAATGCATATTAATTATTTCCACTAGCATTTTCTATTCTGCTCCTTTTTCTAAAGATCAACAGTACAGGCAGATGCTGATGAGGACAGCACATCTTCCTGTAGCACTAATCTATTTTTAACAAATTTCACTGCAATTATAACCCATTTCAGTTTTGTTATATTTCTCAGCTCAGCCAGCCTGAATAATATATAATAGCTTCTATACCTTTGCTTGTCTGGGGTGTGATTATACAGTCTGAGGAGATAGGGGAGGGAAAGATCTACTAAGACTCGAAGTCTGAGTTCCAGTGATGTTTAATGTCAAGAAAGTTTCAGCTTCACAAATAGATTTAGATTATGCTGCATTCAAAACATGGAAGATTGTGTGAACCCTAACTAACATAGCTGTGCCACCAGAAGTGCCTGCTTTAGATTCAGATACACCAGCACAGTTATACTGTGCTTTTGCCAGTATAGCTTCTTTCCCTTCTGGGGCTGGAATAAGCTTTACCTGCAAAAAGCACAGTTTTTCTGGTATAAGTTATATTCACAATAGGAGTGCTTTGCTGTTATAATATGTCAGTATGGGTATAACTGCAGACCCTTCCAAGTGTAGACATGGCCTAAAGCTTTTCTCTTATCAGACCCCAAGGGCCAACTCCTCATCTAAGTCAGCATAGTTCCACTGAAGCTTGGAAACTGGCCCAAAATCTAAATACTCTAGTGAAAGTGACAGCGAAACACTTTCTAGGGCTCAAACACAGAAAATCTCTGATTGAAAACAATTTTATAACGAACTAGAAGTGGATATTACTATCATTCTCCATCAAACATTTTCTGTTATCAGTAATTACTTATATACCTCACAAATTAGGTATTTGGTATATGACCTAGCTAAATATATTAATGGCAAAAACTCCCAAATGGACCGATCTTGACTTCACAGCAAAAATGGTAGTGGTTATGCAGCATGTTTCATGTGAAATATGATACAGCAGGATGAATATGTTTCCTAAATGACACTGAGTGTGAGTTAATCATCTGCTGCTCTTCTATCCTCTCCATCTCAGGTAGCAACCAGTATGGCTCAATTTATGGTCACACATCCGTGATGACAGGCAGCCTCTTGGATGACCACCATTGGCACTCCATTGTCATAGAACGTCATGGGAGGAACATCAATCTAACACTGGATAGGCACATGCAACATTTCAGAACCAATGGGGAATTTGATTACCTGGACCTGGACTATGAGGTACACAGTGACACCTGTTGCTAGTTCTCCTTCATATCAGCTCTTTAGAATAAAGCCAAATGGGGAACCAACAAACAAAAAGGCGATACAACTTTGATGTCCATACACCAATGCAAGATGTATGGAGAATAAGCTGGAAGAACTGGAAGTATGAGTACATAAACTAGATTAAGACTTAATTTGCACCAGAGAGATTTGGTAGGATAAATCTCATGGCTGGAATGTTGGTTTAGAGGAGTATAGCTTGGTCGGGAAGGATAGGTAGGAGGAAAAGGGAGGAGATGTTATGCTGTACATCAAGAATACATGCACTGGTTCTGAGGTCCAAAAGGAGGGGAGAGACAGACCAGTTGAAAGTCTCTGAGTAAAGATAAAAGGAGAAAAATAGGGTGATGTTGTAGTAGGGGGTCTATTATAGGCCACTAAATCAGGAAGCAGAGGTGGATGAGGCATTTCTGGAACAAATAACAGAAATATCTAAAACACAAGATCTGGTTGTAATGGTGGAATTTAACTACCCGGACATCTGTTGGGAAAGTAATATGGCAAATCACAAAATGTCCAGTAAGTCCTTTGAATGCATCAGGGACAACTTTTTGTTTCAGAAAGTGGAGGAAGTAACCAGAAGGACAAGCATTTTAAACTTGATTCTGGACCAACAGAGAAGAATTAGTTGCAAATCTGAAGGTAGAAAGCAATTTGGGTGAAAGTGATCATGAAATGATAGATTGCATGATGCTAAGGAAAGGAATGAGTAAGAGCAGCAGAATAAGGATGATGGATTTCAAAGAAGCAGACTTTAACAAACTCAGGAAACTGGTAGGTAAGTTCCAATGGGAAGAAAATCTAAGAGATAAAAAGGTTCAGGAGACCTGGCAGTTTATCAAGGAGACAGTATCCTGGTGCAAAGGAAAGATAGAAAGAATAGTAAGAGTCCAATATGTCAGCACCAGGAGCTCTTTAATGACCTGTACATTAAAAAAAAATCCCGCAAAAAAAGGAAACAAGGACAAATTGCTAAGGAGTACGAAAGAATAACAAAAGCATGTAGGGACAAAATCAGAAAGGCTGAGGCACAAAATTAGTTGCACCTAGCAAGAGAGATAAAAGGCAGTAGGAAGAGATGTTATAAATACATGAAAAACAAGAGAAAGACTAAAGAAATTGTATGTCCTCTATTTAGTTGGGAAGGGGTATTAATAACTGATGACATCAAGAAGGCTGAGGGGATTAATGCCTATTTTGTTTGTCTTCACTGCAAAGGTTAATGGTGACCAGACACTCAACACAATTAATATGAACAGCAAGGAGGGGGAGGTAGAAAGCCAAAATAGGGAAAGAACAGGTTAAAGAATATTTAGATGAGTTAGATATATTCAAGTTGGCAGGACCTGATAAAATTCCTAGGGTACGTAAAGAACTAGCTGAAACCATCTCGGAACGGTTAACCATTATCTTCGAGAACTCATGTGGACAGGTGAGATCCCAAAGGACTGGAGCAGGACAAATATAGTACCTATCTTTAAAAGGGAGAACAAAGAAGACCCGGAGAATTACAGACCACTCAGCCTAACTTCGATACCTGGAAAAATACTGGAACAAATCATTAAACAATCAGTACATAAGCATCTAGAGTTGGGTTATAAGGAATAGTCAGCATGGATTTATCAAAAACAAATCATGCCAAATCCACCTACCTTTTTTCTTTGACAGGGTTACTGTCAGTGGATAAGGGAGAAGTAGTAGACGTGATATGTCTTGTTTTTAGGAAGGCTTTTGACACAGTCACACATGGCATTCTCATATGCATACTAGGGAAATGCAGTCTAGATAAAATTATTGTAAGGCAGATGTATGAGTGGTTGAAAGACTGTACTCAAAAAGTGGTTATCAGTGGTTCACTGTCAAGCAGTGAGGGTGTATCCTGTGGAGTCCTGTGTGGGGTCAGTCCCAGGTCTGGTAAAATTCACTTCTTTTTGTAATGACTTGTAAAATTGTATGCTTGTAAAATTTGAGGATGACACCAAACTGGGGTGCAAGATGGGGGGTGCAAGCACTTTGGAGGAAAGCATTAGAAATCAAAACAACCTTGACAATTGGAGAATTTGTCTGAATTCAACAAGATGAAATTCAATAAAGACAAGAGCAAAGTCCTTCACTTAGGAAGAAAAAAATCGAATGCTCAGCTACAAAATGGAAGAATAAGTGGCGAGGTGATAGTACTGGTGAAAAGGTTCTGGGAATTATAATGGACAACAAATTGAATATGAGTCAACAATGGGAAGCAATTGTGAAAAGGCTAATATCATTTTGGGGTGTATTAATAGGTGTGTTGTATGTAAGACATGGGAGGTAAGTATCCTGCTTTACTTGCCACTGGGGCCTCAGCTGAAGTACTGTGTCCAGGTCTGGATGCCACACTTTAGGAAAGACGTGAAGAAATTGGAGGGAGTCCAGAGGAGAGCAGCAAAAAGTGATAAAAGGTTTCAAAAACCTGACCTATGAGGAAAAGTTGAAAAAAACTGGGCACATTTAGTCTTGAGAAAAGAAGAAAAGGGGACCCGATAATAGCCTTCAAATACATTAAGGGCTGTTATAAACAGTACTGTGATAAATTGTTCTCCATGTACACTGAAGGTAGGACAAGAAGTAATGGGCTTAATCTGCAGCAAGGGAGATTTAGGTCAGATATTAGGAAGAACTTTCTAACTATAAAGGTAGTTAAGCTCCAAGGGAAGTTATGGAATCTCCATCACTGGAGATTTTTAGGAACAGATAGGACAAACACGTGTCAGAGATGATCTAGATTTATTTGAGCACAGTGGGCTGGATTCGATAAACTGCTGTGGTCCCTTCCAGCCCTACATTTCTATGATTCTATGAACTTTAGCTTTTCTGCTACATTTTATGGCATTTATTTTAATCAGTGCTTTTAGTTCTTAGATTCCCTCCAATTTTCTACAAAGCTCTGTAGTTCTGTTAATTTTGAAACTCAGTTCCCCCAATTATCTTCTAGATCCCAAGTCTGCCAAACTTCAGTGCCTGCTGTTAGACTCATCTCTTTTCTCAGGCATTTATTTATTTATTGGGTCTTAGAGTGTTTACATTCCTGCATGAGTAATGTTCGTGGGCTTTTTAAAAATATCTTTCAGTACTTAGAGATTATGCTGACTGCTTTAACAAATTATTAAAATAAATACACTTTCCTTAACGACAAAATGTAAAATACAATAAATAAAACTAAAAGAACTGTAAGTGCCCCAAAGTCTATTATCTCATTCCAAGTGACCAGCATGCTCCTGAACTAGGAGGCTTGTGTTCAAGAATAGAAATAGGGGATTGGTTTAACCCGCTGACCTTATCTTGTGGCAAAGAAGGCCAAGTAGAAACATGTTACTAATATAGGCCCCAATCCTGCACCTCTTATCAATGGGAGCTTTCTCACCAATCGGAATGTATTCTCTGTAAGAGACAATGAGAAGGGAAGATAGAGAGAGAAATGTGTTTCACTTCTGAATTCAACAGGAAATTTAATAATAATAATCAGAAGTGAATGAAGAATTTATAGCAAATAAGTTTTAGATTAATCTATATCATGTTTGTACTTGATTACTGCATGACTTGTATTGTCGTTAATTTGTTCATTGTCCTAGACTAGTAGATGAATGTGTGCAAATGTGTTGAAGCCCATAGGCTGCTTGTGGGATCTTCTGTATATTTGTCTATTCGCTACTTGTTGTTAGTTATTTGTGGTATTTGATTGGTTGGCTGAGTCGCACAGAATTGTTTCTGTCCTTGCAACTTTTATAAAAAGTAGTACAAATACTTCAGTTATGAACCTTGCATGAACCCATATTTGAATAAATATTTCTGAGATTCTCTTTTTTTATGAATATTCTTTTGAGTGAGAAACATTCATGTGAATGTTTGAGGGAAATGACTTAAAAGAGTGGCAAATGCCATTGAAGTAAATTAATGGTTTCATTCAAACAAATGTTCATGAATGCCTTTTTTCAGTACTCATCCAGTTCTAACAAAAGATAATTTACACTTATAATTAGGGTTTTAAAAGTACTAAACACTTAAATTATACCTCATAACAACCTTGAGAGGTAAATATTATTAAAACTATTTTTTCAAGCAGATAAATTGAAAGCACAGTTAGGTTAAATGAGTTGCCTAAGTCTGCACAAAAAGCAAGAGGCACAGATGGGAATAACCAAAGTTTTCTGACTCCCAGTGCCTTGATCTACAAGCTAGAATACACTCCCTCCTCCCTCCCCCAAAGGTAGGAATACATCTAATGTTTACACTCCAATTAAACACCTGCAGCTAGCCTGTGTCAGCTGACTCTGGTTCACTGGGCTCCGGGTCTGTTTAATTGTGGTGTAGACATTCAGGCTTAGGCCGGAGTTGGGCCCATGGGAACCTGTGAGTGGGGATGGTCCCAGAACCTGGGCTCCACTCTGAGCCTGAATGTCTGAATCACAATTAAACAGCCCTGGAGCTTGAGACACATGAGCCCGAATCAGCTGGCACAGGCCAGTCGTAGGTGTTTAATTGCAGTGTAGATATGAGGCCTGAATCTCTGTCCCTTCCAACAAGTAGGGTAGTTTCCCAGGAGCAATCCTCTGGGGTATGTTCTGCTTTGTATGTGTGTGGGAAGCTCCTCATCTCTGATGGAAGTTACATGAATACATCAAAGAGAGAATATACTTTGAATTTGTTTCAGTAATTCATATAAATGTCGGTAGTAGCCCTGAACTGTCTATCTCCTTTCCTCTCAATTAACACTGTCTTTTTAGTGTCTCGTTGTCATACACCACATTTAAATGTGCTGCCCTTATGATAAACTAATCATAGGTGATAAAGCTGAGAGAATCAAAACTACATTTCAAATGGAGAAACTATTGTTTAGGTTTCTCTCTTTCAGAAGAGATAAGCCAGCAAGAGAAATTGGCACTATTTCTAATTACGCTGTTAATGCAAAAAAAAATAAAATAAAATAAAAAATCCATCAATCCCTCTGAATTTGTCATCCTGTCTGGTTGTCTCCTTTTTTCCTTCACTTTTTTCACATCTTTTTCTTTTCCAGTTTCCTGCTTTTTTTTCAAGTGCATAAATACTGGCTTAGCAAAGAATGTGTTGCACCAAATAAGACATTAAGGGTTTGATCCTCAGCTGGTGTAAACTGTTGTCATTTCATTAAAGTCAACAGAGCTTAGTCACCAGCTGAGGACGTGGCCACAAGATTACATGAAGGAGCCCATGTGAGCAAGTTTTAAAGCCTTTGGTTTTCAGATGCATTGCATTGAATAGGCTTTAGTTCTTCTTAAATGACTCAAGGATCTTCCCCTCTTTAAGATGGAAAAAGAAATGTTCAAAACATTTTTTAAATAGATAATGTTCCCCTTGAGTTTCCTTTTCCTGTTCTCAATAATACCCAATAGAATTGACAAAGAATGATGTTTGAAAACTTATTTCTGGCAAATTCCAGAGGCAGTGTCTAAGACAGGGATCGGCAACCTTTGGCAAGCAGCCTGTCAGGGAAAGCCACTGGTGGGCCAGGACGGTTTGTTTACCTGCAGCGTCCACAGGTTTGGCCAATTGCAGCTCCCACTAGCCGCTGTTCGCTGTTCCAGGCCAATGGGGGCTGCGGGAAGAGGTGGCCCGGCCTGACGGGCCGTGTGCAAAAGGTTGCCGATCCTGGTCTAAGAAGTTTGTGTGAGCATTTTTGGGAAGGAGTGTACTTTGGTATATTATTGGTACCATCATCTGTTTAATATAAATACTGGGCTGTCAATTGCACTGTTAAACAATAATAGAATTCTATTTATATAAATATTTTTGGACGTTTTCCACATTTTCAAATATATTGATTTCAATTACAACACAGAATACAAAGTGTACAGTGCTCACTTTATATTTATTTTTTATTATAAATATTTGCACTGTAAAAACAAAAGTAATTGTATTTTTTCAATTCACTTAATGCAAGTATTTTAGTGCAATCTCTTTATCATGAACGTTGAACTTACAAATGTAGAATTATGTACAAAAAACAACTGCATTCAAAAATAAAACAATGTAAAACTTTAGAGCCTACAAGTCCACTCAATCCTAGTTCTTGTTCAGCCAATCACTCAGATAAACAAGTTTGTTTACATTTGCACGAGATAATGCTGCCCACTTCTTGTTTACAATATCAGCTGAAAGTAAGAACAGACATACTCAAAGCACTATTGTAGCCGGCATTGCAAGATATTTATGAGCCAGATGCACTAAAGATTTACATGTCCCTTCATGCTTCAGTCACCATTACAGAGGACATGGGTCCATGCTGATGATGGGTTCTGCTCGATAAAGATCCCAAGCATTGCAGACCAACGCATGTTCATTTTCATCATCTGAATCAGATGCCACCGGCAGAAGACTGATTTTCTTTTTTGGTGGTTTGGGGTCTGTAGTTTCTGCTTCAGAGTTTTGCTCTTTTAAGACTTCTGAAAGCATGCTCCACACCTCGTCCCGATGAGATTTTGGAAGGCACTTTAGATTCTTAAATCTTGGGTCAGGTACTGTTGCTATCTTTAGAAATCTCACATTAGTACCTTCTTTGTGTTTTATCAAATCTGCAGTGAAAGTGTTCTTAAAATGAACAACATGTGCTGGGTCATCATCCAAGACTGCTATAACATGAAATATATCGTAGAATGGAGGTAAACCACAGAGTAGGAGACATACAATTCTCCCCCAAGGAGTTCAGTCACAAATTTAATTAATGCATTATTATATGAATCACCATTAGAGGTTAGAGAATGATTCCGAACAAATAATTTGACTGTCTCCCCTACCTTGTTTACAATTTTTTCTGTGATGGATATTTCTTCCAATTCAATTATTATTTGATATATTTCTTGTTCCATAGCTTGTGAGTGAGCAATTCATGGTGAAATGTCTAGAATGGGATGAAAGGTCACATGGTATGCTTTGTTCATATAGGGATGAATGTTGGTCTCCAGGGTGAATATTTGCAATTACAAAATCAAAATTTGCTTTCTTCCATTTTTTGCTGGGCTTATTTAAATTTGCTGTTTGGGCAAACAGTAGTGCTAGCTATCTCATTTGCTGTGTGTGAATGTTCAGGAAAACAAATACATCTGCAGCATATTTGTTTTAAAATTCTAATATATTTTCCTCCAGTTACTATCTACAGTCTCTTGTTTGTTTTCAAAGATAACCTTTGGTGGCATGCCTTTTTCTGGGAAGCCAAGTTCAAATAGCAGGAAAAACTTCAAAGGCTGTATGGAAAGCATCAATTACAATGGTAATAATATCACAGACCTTGCCAAGAGGAGGAAATTGGAACCTTCTAATGGGGTGAGAACTTTTTCACGATCATCTAAACTTCTGACAAGTAATGGAGCATACATAGATAGTGTGACTCTGTGTGTAGCTGATACCCATGTGATATATTGTAGTAACATGATATGATAAATAACTTTTATCACATACCTGTGCAGTTTACCACATACTTATGAGCACATTACTTTACCCCTTTGCCAGCTTCTCATGGGTCTTACTCCAACATTCCAAACTGGTGGTGTAGTTTCAGACAGCTGCTATTTAAAAAAAAACAAAAAACTGATAACTTTCTCCTTTTCTGGTTGGATATTAATTCCTGAGCCAGTGATAGCTTTCCTAGATGTAAACATGTCGTGGCTTCAAAGTCTAATCTCTCATGTCCCTAAAGAGTTAGTAGTGGGGATACCATTGGAGAGAGGAGATTCTCCACTTCACCTGGCATTGGATTCTAGCCCTAGAAGGCCTCAAGATATCAGACTTTAAAGTCATGTTGTTTTATAAATAGAAAAGCTATTTTGGAGGTAGTTTACATTATATTAATTTCATTTTTTCTCTCCCTTGGAAGAACTGCACAATGGTACTCATGAAAACGAAATCCTATGTCTTTACCAGAGGAGGGATACAAGAACTAGTCCCATTAATATTTTTAAGTCTGTAAAAAAATTCCTAAAATAGCTTTTCTGTAATATATGTGGCACACATGGAATACATGGTGTTGTAGTGTAGAATAAATGTTTTACTGTCATGAGTCCAGGATGACCTGCCTACATCATTCATGGCTTCCCCCTTCATAAGCATTGTAACCCTCACAAACTCCTGCCAATAATATCTTCATACAACATCATGAGCATTGTAACACTCACAACATCATGTACTCTTTATAAATACACATGCATATGTGATGGTGATGAAATCGTATAAAATTCCTAATTAATCTATACATATTGTATATGGTTTTAATATTAATATGCTGATATAAAGTATCTGAGGAATATGGCTGAGTGATCAAGACTGCGGGAATGATAATTTTGAATTTTCTGATTTTCATCTTAAAATCTCTGAAAAAGCTAAACTTTAAACAGTAACACTGTTTTGCACAAATAGTACATTTTGTTATTTCTACACCAAATTTCTTTAGACATGACAAAGACATTAAGCATGATGTGCATGCCAGGTATGAAACTCTGCTTCAGTATAAGAGTTTTAAAACCCAACCATCCTGAATCCTTGAAATTCCTCCTGTTCTTCAGGGGATTTCCTGCCAGACATGGTGAAATCCAATTAATAATATTGAATTCCTGTGAAAAAAGATGCTCTGTTTTCTGTAGGATATGTGGGATTTTAAGTGTCCCACACTGTACAGGACAAATGAGCTAAGCAGCACACGTTATATGAGAAATCTTGCCAGATTTTCAGTTGGGTGCCTAATTCAAGCCTGATTTCTGAATCCCTGTTAAGGAAGGGTATTTATATGTGTGCTTAAGTCCAATTTAAGTCAATGGGATTTAAGTCCATGCTTGCATGCTTTCCTGGAATAGGAACAGTTTTAAGTATGTTACTTTAGTGCTTTCCTGAATTGAGGCCCCAGATAAGTTGCATGATTCTCAGAAGTGCTGAACACCCAATGTCAGTCCTGTAACCTATGGGTGCTGTGGGTTTTCAAAACCTTTAGAAATCAGACTACTTATTTAGTTGCATAAATAGTGACAGGGATAGATGAGAATCCCTCTTCTTTTTTTGGTATGAAATTATATTACAGTGAGATCCACAGATGTAGTATTGTTATTCACTAGTGCGTCATCAAGAGTCTATTGCAGGCTCGTTTAATTCGATGGTTCTTTTGATTTCCAGTTCTAAGAATGACTATAAAAATAGAAGTGACCTTTGTTTTCAGTAGAATTACTTACACTGCCTCACCTCTGCAAAAACAAAATCAATTTTGTTCTAATTAAACCAACATGGATTTTTATGTTCCTTGCAAAAGCTTTTTTGCTCTTCTTCCTCAGCCTGATTTAGCATGAAAACTTGGGTTTTGTTGATGATACTATTATTAACCATGTCCATTGTGGTGATGTCTAGGCATTAACTAAGATTGAGCTTCCATTGTAGTAGGTGCTGTACAAACGCAGAGTAGCAGAGAGCCCATGCCATGGCAACCTTACTATCTAAGTAGACCAGACAGACAAAAGGTAGGCAAAAGAGATATAATACAAGCAGAATGGTCAGTGTTAGAGCTGGGCAGGAAATTGTTTTCCTGTCACACTTAAACTATTCTGTGTCGGGGTGAACCTGAGACTTTTCAAAGCTTTTTTGCAAAGAGAGAGAGAGAGAGACCCACCCCAGATTATCCAAGAACCAGGTGGTCCCAAGTGAGTGCCACCATCACCACACTATTCTGGAACAGGTCCCTCTCAGCCTCTCCTGTTGAAGTTGTTACACTTTGTATAAATAAATATTTATTAGAGCAGGGACTTGAACCAGAAATTCCCACATCAGTGCCCTAACCACTGGATTACAGAATCAGTCTCTCTCTCTAGCCCAATAAATATTGAATGATTTATTTAAAAAATGGAACAGCTCCAACAAGAGTGATTGGGGCAGAGACTGACTCTGTAAGCTGGAGGTTAGAGCCCTCCCTTGGAACGTTGGTGACCTAGTCCCTGTCCTGTCCCTAATCAGGGTCCTGGGTCTTCCACATGCCAGATGTATGCCTTAATCACCAAGTTCTTGGCTGTTCTGGGTTTGATCTTGCTCTCTCTCTCTTTCTGACCAGAAATGACATCCTGGACCTGAGACACCTTCCCAACTGAAGTTTCATTTTACTGGTACATCAGCAAATCAGCATTTTCTTACAAAAATCTGTTTTGTTGAAAAATTCGCAACCAGCTCTAATCAATGTTATGACAGCAAGTTTAATGTTGCTTCCACTATTGGTGGGGGGGGGTGGAGGAGGAGGGAGGGAGGAAGGAGGGGTTAGCTAGGAGGAAATTGGCTAAATAGAAAGTCAAAGGAAAGGTAGAGGAGTGATGAGAACAGAGTGGGTGAGAAGGAGGGGAGAAAGTATGAAGGGTAGGTGTGGACTGAGGCTGAGGTGAAGAGACTGTGCAAGAGGGGACAAGGAGTGGGTTGGAGCAAGCAGCCAATCAGTGCAGGTCAAAGAAAATCCAGTCAAAACCATAGAGAATATCAGTGTACATCAGTCCCTGTTTAAACTGTTTCCACAGCTGCTCTCCTGACTTCAGTCTCTGCCTGGCTCCTCTTTGCCGTTTCTTTCCCCAAGGCTACATTGTGGGGGAGAGAGAAAAGATGCTGCATAGGTGTTCATGCTTGGATGATGGAGGGAAGGGCCTCTCCCTTGCACAGTTCTTGGCCTGGAGGGTGCTGGGGGAGGGTGTGTCCAAGGCTGAACCCCATTTTACCCCTGTCTCTCCCCCACCAATGCAGCAGGTTAACCAGCTTAACCAGCTTCTCCCGCTGCTCTGCTAGCTTCAGTCTCAATGCATAAGCTAAATATGAAGGGAGTATTTTTTTTATTTAAACTGTGTGCTTTAGAGCAGCATTGTGTTAAGCCTGAAGATGAGTAAAAATCTATTTTTATAAAAATAATGAACGAACGCTTGATAAAACGTTAGCAGCGGGATATAGGCTTTGCAAAACAATCCGTTCTGAGTTACCTCTCTTTTGAGAATATGTATTCAGTTTATAGTTCTGTTCATTTGGAAAAGGTTTTAAAAGGCAGTTGTTTTTCCAGCAGCAGTGATGCCTGGATGTGGGTAGGAAAAAATGTAAATGTAGACTTATAAATGTAAATTTAGAGTTAATTTACAATATAGGGTAAAGATCATAATGCAAAGCCCAAGCTGTCTAACTTGAGAAGCTTCCACTGTTAGTCTTCTAGCATACTGTTAATAATTTTGCAATAAGAACAAAAGTCTCAACATAAATGCACGGTATATATTTGACTTTCAGACTTCAGTGCTGGATGAGTACTTCAGCAATTGATTCTGAACCTAGTCCATAGAAAAGGATCCATTTCTCTTTGAAAAATATGAATCTCGTTATTGTGGCAAACTTCAGATGAGTTCTAACTCTTTTCCCAGCTCTAGTAGACCATCTAAGTGAACTGGGCTTTACATAAAAGAGTAGTTTCCTGATGATGTACAGTCATGGAGGGAAATAATAATCCAGTTTAGATTAAGTTGAATATCTCAGTAGAGAAAAGATCAGATTGGCTAACTGACAGAGAAACATGAAGGGAGTTATACCCTAGAATTATATGCTTCTTCCACAAGTAATCCTTTACACTGTTAGCATTTAGGAATACATTATCTCATTCCTGTGTAAGGGATTTGCATGCATTCACACCCATTAGCAATTGTGGGAGTTACATATGCAACTCTCCCATGCATTAGAGGCAAGAGAGATTTAACGGTTCAAGACAGAATGTCAATCAGTTGTGAAAGCCAAGGCATCTTTGTCCTAAGGAAAATCTCAGTTCGTCACAGTAATAAAGCAACAAGAACTCTTAAATGCATGATACGTGTGCCACGGACTGCTGATTAATTCACTAGGTACTAGGACAAAACACTTAGAATGCTGCCTTGTGTACCTGGTATGTCACCATTGAAGTGCCATCACAGAATGTCAGCTCTTCAGAGACACTGTGGTGCTCTGTGTCCATGCAGGACTAACTTGTCTACACAGGAGTAGTTACTTCCAGTTAATTGGCAGTCAATTAGTTCAATGTAGTTAACATATTTGCAAAGGCTAGTCTGGATACTCTGCAAATTTTTGTTCCAGGATACAAAATTTGTGATTTACCCTAGGGCTCAACCTCGCGGATTCTGTAACAAATGTTTGGGGATGTTCAAACTAATGTTTACAAATGTATTAATTAACTTGGGTAAAATTTCAGTCAATTAAAACCTCAAGGTGAAAATCTCTAGGCAAGCCCACTGGGACTCGCTTACAGTAAAGCAGTGAAGATGGTCCTTACCCTTTATCAGTTAGGTGTTTTTCATGCTCCTCATTCATGCTGTGAATTAAAAGCTTCAATAACTCTTTGAAACAGTGAAGTCCCTAAACTCTTGAATATAATGTTGTGTGATATATTATATGTTCCAGATGTGTGTTACAATGATACTGTAACACTGGGATTGTAATAAAGACAGACACTGGTCTTTAACATGTTCAGAATAAACACTTTTATTTTTTTAGACTCAGGGTGTCTTACATAGTTAGAACTTCTGTGCTGATGACAGCTAAATAGTAAATCTGGTAATTATACTGCCCTCTAGAGGCAGGATGCCAGGCCGTATAACTTTCTGGCACTGTGTATAATGTCAATCTGATACGTGGATTGCATCTGTAAAAACTTCCAATTTGAATACTATAATGCCACAGAAGCTGCTTACTTTTAAATTTGTATCTGGCATGGGAGCACTGTGTACTAGCACATAGGAGATATGTAAGTGAGGGGAATCATGCTCTTCCCATGATTGGTGTCTGTCTGCTATAAAAGAAAGTCAATGATATTTTAGGATTTATTTTTCTTAAAAAAAAAAAAAAAAAATTAAAAAAATTTTAAAAAATCATTTTTGCTCCTCAGGGGATTAGTAATGACATGCAAAGTTTGTCACTGTTAAGTCACCATATGTAATTCATCCCTGGTCAGTAATCTTTACATCTAAACATATGTGCTTATTTCATCATCATAACCTGTCTCTCATGCATTTTAACATGCAAAACGCCCCACACATTTACTTCAGTTGAAGTCTCATAAATAGAATGAAGCTCATACTCAGAAACCACACATTTCTAGCACTATTTATGGATGTAGAAAAGTTTAAACACTGTATTTAAGTTTGGGGTTTTGTGCTGTTTGTTTTTGTTTTGTTTTAGGGAAACTTAAGTTTTTCGTGTGTGGAACCACATACGGTGCCTGTCTTTTTCAATGCTACCAGTTACCTGGAAGTGCTTGGTCGCCTGAATCAGGACCTGCTTTCAGTCAATTTCCAGTTTCGGACCTGGAACCCCAATGGACTTCTCCTGTTCAGCAACTTTGCCGATGGATTGGGTAATGTCGAGATTGACCTGACTGAAGGCAAAGTCAGTGTTCACATCAATGTCACCCAGGTGAAGAAGAACCGAATAGACATCTCATCAGGTAAGCAGATTTTCAGGGTTTCAGGTTTATTGTAAGTCTCACAACAGCCACAGTGAGTTCAAAATTGAAAGAGTTTTATCCCTTGGACTTAAGTTCCAAATTTAACAACATTTTTTATTGTAGATTAATGAAATCCTTTATTTTATGCTTTGATGAACGAGAGGTGGAAGATGTGAAAATGGTATTTTCTTTTATAACTTCCTCTCATCTCATCCTTAGTATTCTCTACCTCATTTTGTTTTGAATAGTTGTGCTAAGCAAACATTTATAGTTGGTCTAAGGACATTTCTCAAGTATTAAAGTATGGTTATGCTACATTTTTCCTTTCTAATGGCTATTGAGTTTTCTGTCTTTTTATCCCTTGCTCCATTATCAAAGCAGCATTTATTTTTCCTCCCTCTCAAAGGGAAGACAGCATAGCCATTTCAAAGGTTGCTGTCAGTCTGATCTGTCAGTATGGAGATTGGAACCTCTCATGTTCATTCAACCTTCTACCTCTTCATTTCCCCAGAGACCATCAGTGGGTACATCTATAGTGGGGAAAATAATACATTTGAACTAATATGGTGAAAGATACTATTTTTATCTTAGCGTGGATGAGGGCAGTCATGTTTAAAAAAAACATGGTTAACCTTAGAGTTGGGTTAGATTTGAAAAGTAATTATCCAATGGTAAATCATGACCAGCTAGTGTACTTTTAAACATGGTTGTCTTTGTCCATCCTAAAGGCAGTATTGTGGGCAACATTGTGTTAGTTAAGCTATGTCAGTCAACATATTTTCTGATGTGATGCATTTTCCCAGTAAAGATATGCTCAACAGTGTACCTGATCATTGTCATGGTGAGCTAGGTTACCCAAGTTTGCTTTCAAACCCAAGTGCTCTGTATGTCAGTGTGATACATTTTCTAGAATTGAGGTCAGGCTAATGCCAGATATGATATATAGCTATTAATTCACCAAGAACTTCATAGACTTAAATTTGAACTTTTTCGGGGGAGAAGGGTGGGTCATATACTTTAATCTTCACCTAACATTTCTGTTCTATCAGTGTTCGGAGGTTAGCATAATGGGGAAAAAAAGAAACCACTTTTCATAGATAACCTATCTGAAGTGTACTAGCTGAATATTCATGCTGTACACAATTAATAATTTTAAAAGGGAGCTTTGAGGAAGTGTAAAACAAGAAAAATGCTTTGTATTTTTTTTAAATAAAAGTATTTATCATGTGGATGAATCAGGACAGTAACCATTTATTTGATAGGTTTCAGAGCAGCAGCCGTGTTAGTCTGTATTCGCAAAAAGAAAAGGAGGACTTGTGGCACAAGTACTCCTTTTCTTTTTGCGAATTTATCTGATGTGTGGAAATATTTTTATGAGTTCTTTTCTTTCTTTTCAGCTCACTAAGGCATAAAATAGAGCTGAATAAAACTTTTGCTACAAATCTAAAATTAGAGGAGTGTGTAACCTGTTTAGAAGTAGAACTGAATATAATATAATAGTCATAGCACCATTTAAAAAAAAATCTAAAGTATTTCGTTCTGAGTTGGTGGAATTGGAACATTTTATGAAATATGTCAGTGATGTTTTATGTTATTTTTACTATTAGATTTGGTGGTTAGGTATTGTTTGCTGTTGTTTTAGCTTGGCAGTATTAACACTGTAGATTTTATTTTATTTTCCTGTGTATTTACAATGTGCAAATGATAAGAGTCAGTAGTGCTCTGGATCTAGTGCAGGGAATGGAGAGGGAATATTTTGGCTCATGTGCTGGCACCTCTTAACAATAAATACCTTGCCCCTCCACCTGCTTGCTCTCTTGCTCTGCTGCCCCAAAGTCTGGTTTAAAGACAGTTTCTTCCTGATGCCATAGGGGGCTGTCAGTATACTTTTGCATTGCATTTTGAATCATCATCAATTTGTTCTGGAAGTAGATTTCACAATCTGTTCAGCAAAATATTTGGAGTCCTTAAAATTTCACCAAGTTGCCATTAATTTGCCTGAAGCTTGACTTGGAGTGAAACCATATAAAACATCAGTTAACATTTTGTGAAGCGGACTCGCGTGAAGAGGAATCAAAAATGTTTGCACAAACCTCTGCCAAAATAAGCCACTGGATTTTATACAGCTGTAACCTAACATCAAGACACATGACTTCTTCCTCCAAAAGAAATCCTTCCAATCTACCTGGATGGTTTAATCGATAGTCCAGGAATCACATACAGCCATTTCATTTTATGACTGTGTTTACTATTCTTGGTCCTTGCTTCCATTGGTGCTGTATATTATGGTTATGGGTGCCTTATGGTGCTCAATAATATTAATAATATGCTTGGTAGTACATTTTTGTCTTTAGACGCATTTGTGTTTGGATAGTCATCCTGCATGTCTTTTGATCCATTTTACTTCCTTATTGTCGCTTGAGAATCAGTGTGCTTGAATTGTGTATGCATATGAGGGTAAGTAGAAGACTCTAGTTCTCTGTCAAAACTGATGACTTGCTAATTAATTTCCCATCCTTCTAAATGATTACTTGATACTCCAAATTCTCTTATTAAAACATTGTGCCTCTGTTGTACAGTGCCTTGTGATGTCTGGTAAGATTCAGATGATATATCAGCTGAAGCTTTTGTTGTCATCTTGGCAGAGCTTTCATATTTAATTAGATTGAATATGTTGTCTATGTACAGACAGGCAGCTCTTATTTTACATATTTTCATGGTATTTTATAGAACATTTGCTGAGTCATTTGCATTTCTAGCAGCCTCATAGCACCTATACCCATATTTATTGCTACCTATTGATGTCAGTGAGATGAATGGTTTACAGGTCATTGTAAAAGATACTAGGTACAACTGCAAAGTTTAGAGGCAATAGAATCAAGTAATCATCAAGGAGAATAAATTGACTGTGGTAAGAAAAGTGAGCATTGCTGTTAATTTGAGGGCTCTAAAGGAGGTTTATTGTTTGTCTTTAATGGCAATTCTGCTGCTCCTATTGTCATTTTATATAATGCTGCAGTGCTATATTCATCCAGAATTCTGTAAAGTAGTTTAATTTAAATCCTCACTATATTGCTGATCAATTGCCTTTACTTCTTCCCTGAGGTAATAGGGTACAATCATGAACTTTCTTTCCTCAGCTTAAAATGTGTTTTCCATTAGCAGAAGTTGATTGCTCAAGTATTTACAGAAAGCAAATGCAAAAGGGTTTATGGAAAATTCATTTTCAAATATGAGGGCATACTTTGGGAAAATCTGTTATGGTATTTTCAGGTCCCAGCAATAAATATTACATTTTGAGGGTGTTTTGCGTATATTAAAATGTTGTGTATTAGAGATTCTTTTGACCAAATTCCAACCTCTTGAGGTTTGAAGTCTGTTGAACATTCTTCCTTTCACTGTTCGGGAAGGAAGCTACATTAATGCAATTTTGTTCAAAAACAATGTGCCTTCTGCACAGTTGGACAGATATAATGAATGAGATGGACTGTGTCAGAAGCAGTGAAGACAGGAGAAAGCAAGGGATGAGCAGAGATTGGGTGAGAGAGGATGTCCAGAATTAACATTATGACCTTCAGCTGCGATTGTGATGCTAACTAGCAACGTTGTTTGGGGTGATATCTTATATTAAACGATAAACATTCAAAAGTAAAAACCTAGTGGTGGTCGTGGTACATGTAGGTACCAATAACAGGGAAGGATAGGAGAGAGGTCCTGGAGGCCAAATTTAGGTTGCTAGGTAAGAGATTGAAGTCCAAGACCTCCATGGTAACAGGTGTAGGAAGGAGGGGTTTAGATTTATTAGAAACTGGGGAAACTTTTGGGAAAGGGGGAGCCTATATAACAGTGGTGGGCAACCTGCGGCCCAGAAGGGTAAGCTAATTGTGGGTTGCGAGACATTTTGCGGACATTGACCATCCACAGGCATGGCCTCCCACAGCTTCCAGCGGCCACGGTTCTCCATTCCCAGCCAATGAGAGCTGCATGAAGCAGTGGCCAGCATGTCCCTGCAGTCCGTACCACTTTCCAAAGCTCCCATTTGCCAGGAACGGCAAACCGCAGCCGTTTCCCAGCCAATGGGAGCTGCAGGGGCCATGCCTGTGGATGGTCAATGTCCACAAAATATATCGCGGCCCACAATCAGCTTACCCTGATGGGCCGCATGCGGCCCACGGGGCGCAGGTTGCCAGACACTGCTGTACAGGAAGGATGATTTCCACCTAAACCAAAATGGAACCATATTGCTAGCACTTAACAGAACAGGTCATGCTGGTGGGGGAGTGGCACTATATATGAAAGAAAGTGTAGAATCAAATGAAGTAAAAATCTTAAATGAACCAAACTACCATAGAATCTGTATGGATAGTAATTCCATGCTCAAATAATAATAATAATAATAATTAATAATAATTAATAATAAATAATATCGCAGTAGGGATATATTGCCAACCACCTGACCAGGATGGTGATAGAGACTGTGAAATGCTCAGGGAGATTAGAGAGGCTATTACAATAAAAACTCAATAATAATGGGGGATTTCAACTATCCCCATATTGGCTGGGTACATGTCATCTCAGGACGGGATGCAGAGGTAAAATTTCTTGACACCTTAAATGACTGCTTCTTGGAGTAGCTAGTCCTGGAGCCCACAAGAGGAGAGGCAATTCTTGATTTAGTCCTAAGTGGAGCACAGGATCAGGTCCAAGAAGTGATTATAGCTTGACAGCTTGGTAATAGTGCCCATAATATAATTAAATGCAACATCCCTGTGGCGGGGAAAACACCACAGCAGCCCAACACTGAAGCATTTAATTTCAGAAAGGGGAACTACACAAAAATGAGGAGATCAGTTAAATAAAAATTAAAAGGTACAGCACCAAAACTAAAATCTCTGCAAACTGCATGGAAACTTTTTAAAGACACCATAATAGAGGCTCAACTTAAATGTATACCCCAAATTAAAAAACAAACAAACAAACATAGTAAGAGAACCAAAAAA